AAAAAAAAAAAAAAAAATCATCATCATCATCATTATAATTATTATTATCATTATAATTTTTTTTTTCTTTTTTTTTTTTTCATTTTTTTCCTTTTGACATTTTTCTTATTTAAAATAAATCTATACATACTACTATCTATATATAATAGTAATTTTTTTTATAATTCACGGTAAAAATTTAAAAAAAAAAAAAAAATTGTTTTATTATTATTATTATTATTATTATTATTATTATTATTATTATTATTTTAATAACAATACAACGTGCTTACAAAGAAAGAAAGAAAAATCATCATCATCATCGTATTTGAACCCCGTCAAAAAATAAATTTTTTTTTTCAAAATTAAATTGTTTTATGTATGTGTTGTCGTGTTCATATTTGAGAGAGTTTGTTTGTTTGTTTGTTTGTGTGTATGTTTGTGGGTGTGTACGTGTACGTAGTAAGCAAATAAAAAAAAAAAAAAAAATTGTACTCATTTTGTTCAAATGATCCTGATTTTTTTTTTTTTTGATTAGACGATCCGACGTACTTTTATTTCTCCAAAAAAATTATATATATATATATATATTATGTATCCGTACCGTAGTGGATAAGAAAGTCCTAAGTACCTACTAATAATTTTTAAAAATAAAATTATCATTATCATCATTATTTATTATTATTATACTTAATCTTAAATAAAAGTCGGATATTATTATTTTCTCCTTTTTTCTCGTTCAAAATTTTCACACTCAAGTTTTTTTGTTTCCTTCTTCTTCTTCTTTTCTTTTCTTTTAACTGTAATTCATTTTTTACATTAATATTAATAATAAAAAAGTAATAATAATAATAATAAAACACAATTTTAAAACTTTAGTTCTTCTTTTTGAACATTTTATATAATTATAATCATGCTCGTGGTGTTCAACGGCTTAAATTTTCAACGGATAAAATATTTTAAATACTTGTAACAAGTTTTTTTTTTTTGTTTTGTTTTGTGAATTCACAACCAGTCAATCAAACGGTTAAACCCTCGCACGCACCCCTCCCTTTTGTAAACAAAAAAATAAAAAAAACATTTAAAACAAAGAGTTTTTTCCTTTTTCTCTTCATCATCTCCTTTTTCTTCATCATCTTATTCTTCTTCTTTCTCCTCCCCCATTTTAATCATTTCGCCCGAGAGTTAAAGTAAAATCATTATCATTATCATCTTATAGGCCAAACACGGATTATACAATTACAAGTCAGTGATGTGTGTGTTACCGTGAATTATCGAAAGTGGAATGATCAATGAATGAACATTGAACGAAATACAAAAGATGGTGCAATCACTTACGACAACAAAAAAAAAAAAAAAATTAAAAAAAAAATAATAATAATAATTAAAAAAAAAAAAAAAAAAGAATTAAAAAGTGTAAAAGTGATTGCAATCACTTCAAAAAAAAAAAAAAAAAAAAAGTGTACAAGAAACTTTTTTTTTTATTTTCCCATCGTGGAAATAATAACAGACAGTCCTTCAGCACCTGAAATGCTTTCGATAAAAGACTCTTGTTAATGTACCTCAGACGGCTCAGGTTTTTGAGAATGATGATTGGCTGGATCGGGCGCACTTAGCGGCTTCAAAAAAAAAAAAAAAAAAAAAAAAACAAAAAAAATTACTAAACATTAGTTTTGACTAAACTGAAACAAACAAACAAACAAACAAACAAAATTATCATCGTTATCATTTTTTTATACCAGTGTGTGTGGAATTCCCGACACCGAACCAGCTGTGGCGCTCGGAGGCCCTCCAGCACTTCCGCTTCCAACAGAGTGGGGCACCTCATGTGGAGTTGTTGAGTGGGCTTGTTGAACGGGAAGAGCTCCAGCGTAATATCCCCCGTTGATACCTAAAAGTCAAATTTTTCACTTGTGATAATATGCAAGAACCTTAACACAAAAAATTAAAATTAAATAAAAAAGTCACCACCTTCAGGATAACCGCCACTGGGAAGGAAATATTCCTTATTAACACAGTTTCTAAGACATTCAGGTATTCTTCCTACAATCGCTCTTCTTATTTCACTTGCCGCCATTTCCCTAAGTTCCGTACATGAAGCATCTGAGTAAAAAGCAGCATGTGGTGTACATAGTAAATTTGGGGCGTCTTTTAACGGACCTAAAGAAACCAAACAAAAAAATTTTTTTTTTTTTTTTTTTTTTTAAATTAAAACTCTTAGAAAAAATTTAAATGATTTTTGGGATGCAAAAAAAAAAAAAATTATAATATTGATATTTGAAATAAATAACTCTTAAAACATGCAAAAATTGAAAAAAATAAATAAATAAATAAAAATAATTTTTTTTTTTTTTTTTTTTAGTAGTCAAATATCAATAAATAATTTCAATGTGCCTTATTCTAATTAGCTTTGAGTTGGAAAAAAAAAATTTAATTATTATTATTATTTTTTTTTCAACTCAAAGCTATGCGTGAGACTGCAAAAACTAACAATCTTTAAATAAATAAATAAAAAATTTAAAAAATTAAAAACAACTTACGAGTGTTGTCAAAATGAAAATAAATAAATAAATAAATAAATAACAAATAAATTGTAAATTTTCTACAAAAAATAAAAAAAAAAATATATAATTTTTTTTTTTTTTTTTTTTTTACTAATCGTAAATAAAATATCGCAAGCAGAGCAAAGGAAAGCGAAAAAAAAAAAAAAAAAAAAAAACAACACGTAAATTTTAGTTTTTGCAAGTCTCGATTTAGACATTACTCACACGACTGACCCTGGAATACATTGTAAGGTTCATTTTCATGAACATCTAATGCTGCGGCTCGTATCCGACCTTGCTTTAGGGCTGCCGCCAAACTCTCGTCATCAACTAAACCTCCCCGAGCTGTATTTACCAAGAATGCTCCTGTAAAAATTAAGGTTTTAGAAGAGTTTTATGCAGAAGACGGGAGAGAGAATACGCGTGTTCTCGAAAAGAAAACTATTATTATTATTATTATTATTATTATTACCTGGCCTCATTTGTTTAATTGTAAACTCATTAATTAAATGATGGTTGTGTTCGTTGAGAGTGCAATGCAGTGAAACACAATCGCTTTGAAACAGCAATTCTTGTAATGTATAAACTCGAGTCAAACCCAAACTTTTGTCTATGCCATCAGGCAAATACGGATCGTAAAATATCACGTTGAATCCAAAAGCCTTGGCTCTTAATGCTACTCCGGAACCTATGCGCCCTAAAAAAATATAACATGAATTTATATTTTAATACTGGTTTTAAGAGGGTTCCCCTCCCCCCCTCCCCCGGGTAGAATGATAAAAATATGCTTTCGTACCTAGACCAACAATACCAAGTGTGTCTCCACGTATTCTAGCACAACCTTGTGCAGCTTCACGAACTTGTTCCGGCCCATTGAATTTTTTACCCTCGCGCACCATGCTTGCAAGCCAATATGTACGCCTATACAAATTAAGTATGAGACAGAGTGTTGTATCCGCTACTTCTTCGACGCCATATCCTGGAACATTGCACACGGCTATTCCAAGTTCTCCGGCGGCCTAAAAAAAAAATTAAAAAATTTAAAAAAAAAAGAAAAAACCAAAAGACGACCAAAACAAAAACAAAAATACATACCTTTACGTCAATATTATCCACACCAGAGCCAATTCTAACTATGATTCTCAACGTTTTGAATTTTTCGAGATCTTCTTTAGTAAGTATAATAGTATGCCACATTAAGGCACCAACTGCCTCATTTAAAACCTGGAAACAATATAACGATATAGAATAAATTTTTATTATATTACCTTTTATGTAAAACAACAACAAACCTTTTTCTTTTTACAAACCTTTTCGTGAATTTCCGAAGTGCTTTGTGCATCGCAAAAAGCGACCGTGGCAACATCTTTCAATATGGGCATTTCAATGGAGCAATCACGCCCGTCTAAAAGAGCTACTAAAGGCCTTGATTGCATCGGCCCATTTGCGATGGGACCTCGCACGTCCATACGTGGCCTTTTCGCCAACATCTTTCGTTTGTCCATCCCCTCCAGCGTGAACAATTTATTGTGTTAACGATTTTAACCGGAAAAAAAAAAAATGTAAAAGTACCGATGTGATCACACGCGCGCGCGCACACTTCACACCTTTCAAGTTAAATAAACTTTTTCACACTTTCGGAAAAATGAGATTTTCCTTTTCTTTCCTTTCCTTTTATTATTAATAATAATATTATTTATTTATTTAATTTTTTTTAAAAAAAACGATTTGCTATATTCTTTTTCTCTTCTGGACTAGACAGGCAACAGTTTTAAGCAATTAATTTTTTTACACATTATCACTGGAACTGGAAAAAAAAAAATAAAAATAAATAAATAAATAAATTTTTTAAACTATTTAAATCTACAAAA